TCTGTGTATAAGGTAGGGTCTAGTCTTTGATGATTTTGGTAGGAGGCAGAAGGAAATAGAAGACAAGCAAAGGATATTTAAAGGAGAAAAAGGAGACTGGGCAGAAGCCACAGAATGGGGAAAAGGAGTAGAACAAGGCAGCTGGAAACCAAGATGATAATTCTTACATATGAACATTCTATAGAGTTTGGCTTATCTTTCATTATTTGTGGTGGAGACACACAAGACAGAGCCCCTCCATGACCAGTGTGTCTTCACAGAACTGCACCTTATGGAGAACTGTGGTCATAGGGAGGAAATGTAGGCCACTGATGACACATCATTTTGAGCTGGCTATCTTACATATTTCTAAAGGCTTTCAATTACTTAAACCCATTGCTGATATCTTTCTGTGCACCGCCCAGTAAAATTGACATGTGATTTGGTGCTTAGTATCTTTTTTGAGGACATGATGAAAATGATGAGCAAGAAGGTAAAAGAGGCACAAGACACAACTTTTTGTTAAAGGTAATTTGTCACCCCAAATACCTTTTCATCTTTATAAAACTACTTTTTATTTAAAGGCAAGGGGTTCATTTACTGTTATAAGTTCTTGCAGACCAATTTTCATTAAAAATACGTTTACTGAAACAAAGATGGGTGGAAAAAGATATTTCTGAAAGATGTTTATCTACTAAAACTAAACTAAAACGTCCATGGCAAACTAGGAAAGCTTTTAAGTAACGCTTTCTCTGATGATCACGTTTCCTTGAAGTGACAACACGTATGAGGGAATGGGAGGAAACCCTGCTTCTAAAAAGATATGTAGTGGACCTTCCCAAGATCAGCCAGCACAGCATAAACAAACACTTCTGCCGTCTCCAAGGGGAATCTGACATTGAGGCCCAAAAAGGCCACCTTTCAAGCATCTGACTGGAGTTTGGCTTTGGATCAAAATCCATTTTGAAAGAAGCCAGAAAAACTGCTGAAATCTAGACTCTTCTTTAATATCTATTCATTAAAACCAAATATGTGGAAGGCACTCAAGTGTCAGCAACATGTATTTTAATGCCATTTGACAGTGCTATTGATTAAAGAATGGTACATTGCAAGAAAATATCTGCAAACTAAAAAATTCTACATTTAACTATATTAAAAGTGTTTACATTCAATTCAGTTCAGTGAGCCAATACGGAGTTCCATTATAATCAGTATTACAATTTATTATTATAATCAGTACTTTCCACATAATTTGCATTTTCATGAGCCTAAAAGTGATTAATGAGGGAAAAAAAATCAGATAATCAGTAACTGGAAGGCTGACTTAACAAGTAGACAGAACAGGCAGTCACCTATATGTTATGACATAAAGCAGTCTGGAAAATAACAGCCATTAGCTAACATTTATACAGCGATTACAATATACTTGGCACTGTGCTAAGTGCTTTACAATTATTCACCCCCATTTTACAGATGAGTAAACTGAGGCTACATGAGGTGAAGTGACTTGCCCAGGGTCACACAGCTAGTATGTGTCTGAGGCTAGATCTGAATTCAAGTTTTCCCGATTCCAGGCCCAGGGCTTTAACCACTGTGCCACCTGGCTGCCCCTGGTCCACACTTCTCTTTCAAACACTTACCACAGGAGTCTGAAACTCCACTATCAGGAATTCATTCCTTGATGCCAGAGTCTTATTGCACTCCAGCCCCCTTCCTGCACATCACAGCAAAGCAGCACTAACGTTGTGAATGCTGCTCACACATGGCATTCCGTCTCCAGGCTTGGAGCCTCTGTCCTGGCTCTCTCCCAGGCCTAGAAGCCACTCTTTTGCCACCGCTGCCTCTTAGGATCCTTGCATCTCTTCAACACTCAGGTCAAGCAGTCCCTCCCACGCAACTCTGATTCTCCCAGGAGCTAATGCCTTCTCTCCAGATTATCTACTGTGTTTACCTGTCCAGAGACGTGGTGTTCGACGTGACTAGAAAGCAAGCTGCTTCCAGACAGGATCTCTGTCACTCTTGTCTGTGTCTCTCTGGCACACAGCACACACTGAATTTTTGGTCAATGCGTGCTGACTGACTGGATACAGAGCGAGGCAATCCTGGCTTGGGGGACAGAGTCAGGAGACCTGGGTCCTGGGCCCAGCTGGGAAATCTTGGGCTGACAATTACTCTTTCTGATCCTCAGTTTCCTCATTTGTCAACTGGGGAAAACAAAATTTGTGCAACCAACTTCCAGTCAAAAGCTGACAGGAATCTAAGAAATAGAAGAGGGGCAGCTGGGTGGTGCAGTGGATAGAGCACTGGCCCTGGAGTCAGGAGGACTTGAGTTCAAATCCAGCCTCAGACACATGACACTTAACTAGCTGTGTGACCCTGGGCAAGTCATTTAACCCCACTGCCTAGCCAAAAAAAAAAAAGAGAAAGAAATAGAAGGGGACTTAGGGGAAATCTATACCCCAACAGTATTAACAAAAAGTGGTACAGTCAACGAACTGGTATCCATCTTGTATCAAATAACATATTAAACCCTCTACACACAGGGCTCTGACCTGTGAGGAACTCCCCTTTCCTCACACAAGTTAGTGCCATGCCTGAGTGTTGCTTAGAGTCCTGAGAAATCACATCACTTGTCCACGGTGACACAGCCACCATGGATCGCAGGTAGGACTTGAACTCAAGTCTTCCCAGCTCCAAGGCCAGGGTTACGAGACTATGTTGCCAACTCTAACTGATATAAAAGCTTCTCTTCAGAGATGGGCAGCAGTGATGCCCAGAATGTCTGTCAGCAGTTTTCCACAAGCACTAATACTGGAAATAATGCTCAGCTCTCTGTTAGGTGGTCCTAGACTTCCAACCCTCATTTCAGCTCTGAGAATGGCATCAAACCCTCGGTACTGTACCAGAGAGTGCCTAAGTCACCAATCTGTGGTCACTCAGGAGGTCCTCCTTCACTTAGCAGTAAATGCCCTCGTTTCACACTACTAAACCACGTGGCCTCCATCCACGCCCACCCGCCTTGGTGAGATCATGAAAATCTATGCAGCTTTGTACACTGGAGAAAGCTCATAAAGTAGGGGCTGTTGCCAGTGCAGCAAGACTAGCTCTGCCAGATGCAAACCTCTCCCAGAAAAGATAACACAGAAGGCTGTTATTGAATATCACGGTCACTCACATCTCAACAAATTGAGCAAATGGTATACCTGAAGAATGGAAGGATGATGAAGAGGAGCTGAGAGTTAGTTAATTACTTGGGGGACAAGGTGAGGTGGGGTATTTCCAGGGACAGAAGGAGGAGAGTGGGGAAAGGGCCAAACCTTGAGATTTCAGAGCCTTACCAGTTCCCACCTTCCTAGGGAACACAGAGTATGTACCACTTATACCACTCACAAAGAACGCCCTGGGAAATCTCCTCTACTGTTATCCTTAATTGCTATTTAGGTCATGTATCTTTCTTTAATTTTAGATGCGTTCATTCCTAGCTTCCTCTGCTGGACAATTAGCTTCCTAAGGGTGGGGCTAGGCTAGCATAGAGCTTGGCCTTTAGGAGCACAGATCTGGAGAAGACGGGACCTTAGAGAGCAGCCTAACCCCCTCATTATACAGAAAAGGAAACTGAGGCCCAAAGAGAGTAAGTGACTGATCTAAGGTCACATGGCTTAAGTGGCTAAACCAGGATTTTCATTCAGGCCCAGTGTTTCCAAGTTAAGCTCCCTTTCTACTTTGGTAAATACTTAAAAATATTTGTCTTTTGAGATGCCAAATTCATTAGACATTCACTTAACCTTTTTCTTTCATTCTATCCATTTGCTTCTTTGTAAAGATATTCTTAGAAATCTGACATTCATAACATGACTAAATGTGATGACAACACTAAAAAATACTTATTGCACTGATGAATGGCCAACTAAAATAGAATTCTAGAAAAAAAGGCCTGGATTTAATTTCTTCTATACTAAACAGTAAAGAAAAAAAAAGTTCATCTACAGAGAAACCCTTCTGATAACAAAAAATCAGAACCAATTAAAATTTAGGTTTACATTGCAAGAGATCTTAAAGGACCTTTATGTGGGTAGGAAAAGAAAGTAGGACAATAGATTTATTTATTCTTCAATCAGGATTCTTGTCTTGGTATACGAGGATTCCATGTGAAGGCTGAGATTATTTTCTTTTATAATCAGAAACTCAGAGAATCATAGCTTTGGGAAGTAGCTCAAGAGAGTACTTTTTCAGTTCCCTTTCTTTAGGTAAGTTACCCTCTTGATTTTTCAGGTAGGTTAATTAACTTGCCCAGCATCACCCAAAATTTAACTCCACGAGCACTAAAATCTCTATTTGTGGAGGGAATCGCATCATTCTAAAGGCCTGAAAGCACCCCCCCCCACTTCTTATGGACTTTGTCAGCATCTTCATGTCTTTACTGCTATGAGCTCTACCTTTCCTTGTGCACCAGTTGAAAGGGCAGATGAACATCTTGAGGAGAAGACTAAGCACTGGAGTCACCTGAAAGGCTTTCCTTGTAAAGTTGGCTTATAAATGGTTCCAAATAAAACACTGTTTCTAGTGCAGCCGAAGTCCTTTAGATACACCCTCTGGAGCAGAATGCTCCAGTATTTGTAAATACCCCATAATGAAGCCTGGAGACTTTGTTTATCCTGTTGTAATCAAATGTTAAAATGGCTGTTTTTTATTTTTGAGAAATGTCAGCAATCATCCTATCACATTGCTTATTGAAAGGCTGTTGGCTCCTCAATGGTAATATTTGGCCCCCAGTTTGGAAAAACTCAGTCTCTTATGAAAAGGCATCTGTCCTGGACAAAGGACTGGGTTCTTTTAATAGTTACCAAGAAACGTCCCCTCCACAAATGACACTTTTTGTGAAGCAGTTCATTTTGGGCCATGATATTTTTCTACGTTCTGTGCTTCACACACAAGGATACGAAAGATTAATTAATGAAACCATGTGATACGTTCCTCGGTTGTCCATGACAAAACACCCAGGCTTGTGACCAGGTACTTACAGATTCTTTTCTGCCCATGGTTTTGCTGTGAGAACGGGAACGGGAGATGGTGCTAAAGAAAGAGTCCTTCTTGGTAGCAGACAATGGGGGAGAGCCCGTGAACTCCCTTCCCCCAGGCAAGCTGTCAATGCTTGGAGATGAACTGAGGTTCTTAGTACTCTGTCCTAAAAGAAAAAGTAAAGAAGCAATAATGAATCACCAGAAATTCTGACTGACTGATGGATGACAGTAAGACTTATGGTGTCGAGGACTCAGGAGACAACTTCACGGACATTAAATATTATCAACATATGGAAAAGGTATGGCATATTAAAACGTTCCCATTGCTACGTAATAGTTTTTAAATTACATTTCCAAATGTTAATTAAAAAAACCTCTGAGTATGTACATATGCAAATATATACCTATGTACATACACACAGGTATACACATGTACATACATACACACACATACATATAGACATGTATATATAGTTTTTGGTGCATGGTTCTTGTCTATCCTAGTTCTCATCATCCCCCAAACACTAACGAATACTTCAGCCCCTTTAAATTTTCAGAAGACACTTGATGGAATGACGGTGTGAAATAATCCTGAGTAACGAAAAGCAAGGCATATTAAGTTGCACCCAGTGGCAAGTGAAAATTTTTGGTCTTTCAAGTAAAGGTTTCAGAAAGAGCTTCTTTACCTTTTGCTCACTACAAAGTAAAAAAGCTCTCTACCTCGGCACCTCTGTCTCTCGTGGGCCTAGAGGCACACGGCCACTGACAAGCTCATCTTTCTGCACCTTTCCTCTTTCCTGCACCAGCACACTCGCTGGTGATCCTTAGCACTCGAGTCAGACCTAAGGGTAGGAAAGATAGGCAGCTGCCTGGGATGTGACAAATTAGACAGATGCACAGATAGATAAGCATTTATTAAGTGCTTACTAGGAGAAAAATGATGATAATAAAAATAACAATAATTAACATCTTGCCAGCACTGTGCTAAGTGCTTCACAATTATTATCTCATCTGATCCTTACACAAGCCTGAGGGGCAAATGCTATGATCTCCTTTTTACAGTGGAGGAAAGTGAGGTCAGCACTGAACTCTGGTTTTCCTATAAAAATACTTCTCTTTCTGTCCAAAAGTTAATCCAGGGCACAAGCATCCTTATTTTGGGATGCTGGGCCACATGTTTGACAATGACCTGCGAGGGTGTGATCCTGGGTGCTGTCTGGGTACGTAAACACCTTGTTTTTGATCAGAATGGGGAGAGGACCTGGGTTGCCAGGCTGATGTGGCCTGGTCTAAGGCTTCAGGGGGAGAGTCTGGCCTCAAGGCCCCGGTGCTGGGAAAACGCCCTCCTCGCTGCCCAGTCTTGCGGCCTTTTCCTCACTCTGAGGGAAGTGGGCCGCTGCTGAAGGAGGTAGCTTCTCCCACCGTCACATGTGCACAAGGAGATGAGACCGCTCTGTCAGTTCATTCATTTTTTAAAACTTCCCAGCCTCTGCTTGGGAGCCTCCCCCTTGAGGTTTCTGAGAACAAAGCTTCCACAAAAATCTCATTTTTAGGGAATGGAGCAAGATCAAAGGCAAAGTCCTGGAAGGAAAATGAGAACTGAGAATAAATGGGAGGCAGCTCACTTTCGGGTAATCATGGAACAAGGTCTGTGTCCTGGAGGCACAAGGACTATTAGGGATGCACATTTCTTGCCTTCTACATCACTTCTATCTCCCAAGTTGAGAGGAGATACCGTGAGGGTCAAGTGAAGACCTATTCCTCCTCTGGCACCTCTCTTGAGCCCCACTGACCTGCAAGCCGTCCTAGGGGGGCCCCGAAGCTTTGAACCACAGTAGCAATAACTTGTAATGCACCAAGACTGTGCCTCAGGTCACAGCATACTATGTGTATATACATACATATATATGCATGTGTATATACACACACACACACACACACACACACACACACACACACACAGAGCACACAGTTTGGACAAACCTCACTCAATGGTTGTCTGTCCAATGAAATGGCATCTTTATTTAGTGGGAAGAAAACACCAGCTCTCATGAGAGCCGCCTCAAGGTTTAGTTCTTGGTACTGCGCCTTCTCTGGGGAAAGCTGGGCAGCTGATCAAACAAAGATCAGCACAAACAGCCTTTTGAACACGGATAAATGGGCTCTGGAAAAAACCAAAGGGGCCACACTACCAAGGCCTTACTATTTCTTGCATCTATCTCTAAGACAAGGCTACCTTTGGAAGAGCATCTTTATGCATTTTTGCATGATAACATATTATTTCAGTATTTCATTTAAGGAAGGCCAATCATCTCAAATGTTAATAGCGCAATATTTCCTTTTGAAAATTAAAGAAAATAATGGCAATGCTACTTACAGAATGTATCTCTTTATAATCTTTTTCTACCCTACATTCTTTCTCCTTTCCTATTATAGCTGTAGCCACATCTCCACGTCCAATGACCTGGACAATGACAGCTTGGGAAAATATTCCTCAAACAAGGTTCATCCTTTACCTCATGCCCTGACCATCCCAACTTTGCCATTATTTTTAATGCTTCTAGCCCGACTCCCAGAATTGCAACTGCCAATTTGTCCTGAACTATTTAATTTCCTTCACTCCGTTACAGGCTATTATCAAATTCTACCAATTAGTCTTAAGGATTATTTTTCAAAATACTAAGGCAGGTAGGTGGATTGTTAGCCTTGGAGTCAGGAAAACATGAGTTTGAATCTTCCTCACATATTAGCTCTGTGACACCGGGCAAGTCAATTAACCTCTCTGTGCCTCAGTTTCCTCATCTGTAAATGTGGTTGTTGTTGTTTGTCCTTTGTTCTTGAAGAGGACCATGACATCAGTGAGGTGATGCTATGACATGCAAATGAACTGGATTTAAGTGAAGGAGGGCTGTGTAAAGTCACCAGTCTTACTTTCTCCTCCAGAGCCATCTGGGTCTAGTGGCCAGATATATCTCAGGATGACTCCTTCCTTCCTTTTCTCCTTCCCTCCTTCCTTCTGCCTAAAGGAACGCAAATTCTGATCACTGAAATCCTGCAAGATATTTTGGGGTTTACAGGCTAGATTTCTTTCTTAAGGACCATGCCTTAAACCCATATCACTCTGGCCAACAATGTGTCCCAGGCCAAACCCCACTTGGTTACTATTTGGGCCCCGACTGGCTCAAAGTGAACGTAAACAGCAATGGTTTCCTTTTTGGCCAGAAACCATCCTAGACTGTTTTTTTTTTTTAAATAAGGTAAAGAAGCCACTCTCTGCCTCATTTCTTACCTGGCCTTAATCACTGAATGGGTGCTGCCTCAGTTAAACTGAGACCTGTTGAAGACCTCAGCTTAAAAAGGCCAAGGTCTCCCACTGCATCCTGGGTCATCTATAAAAGGGAGGTAATAATAACACCAACCTTCCACAGTCGTTGTGAAGATAAAATGAGATATCTGTAAAGCACTTTGCAAACATTAAAATGTCATATAAATGCTAGCTATTGTTAATATTATTTTTACTACAACGCTTTTTTAAATTCCCATCTTCATGGCCCCTGGTATAGGTCCTAATCAACTCATGCCTGGCCTACTGTAACAGGCTTGCAGGCATTCTCCTACTCACTAGCTATACTGAAGCTATTTTACTGGCACTGGTACCTTGACTCCCTCTCTCTCTCCCAGAATGAAAAGGGTTCTTCCCTGAAGGTATATAAGGTAAGTGACAGGTACAGCAACTGGAGTCAGTCAGTCAGTCACAAGCAATTATTAAGCTCTTACTATGTCTTAGGCACTGTACTATTGGATGGTAACATAAAGAGGGAAAAAGGCACGGCCCCTGCCTTGAAGAGGCTCACTATTTAATGGAGGAGGCAACATGCTGATAACAATGCACACGCGATTTACACACAGAATTAGAAGAAGGTGATCTCAGAGTGAAGGCATGTGGGGATGGGAAAGGGTCAGGACTAGGAAAGACCTACAGAAGGCAGGATTTGAACGGAATCCTTGAAATTGAAACAAGATAGTAGAATTCAGGAGGGAGTGTATTCCAGGCATGATGCAAAGCCAGCAAAAGGCCCACAGTTGGCAAATAGAGGGCCATGTGAAAAGAAAATGTAACTAGGGTACCTGGATGACAGTGAGTGTGGAGGAGAATAAAGATGCTGGAAAAGTGGGAAGGGGCCAGATTATGAAAAACTTCCATGGGCAAAGAGAACACTGTTGCTGATCCTGGAAAGAGCCCCTGGAGTTGACTCAGTAGGAATGACATGGTCAAATGTATGCTGTAAGAAACTCACTAGGCAGCCGAGGTGAGGGTGCACCAGAGAGAGGACATGCATGAGGCAAGGAGACTAGACAGGAGGTTATTTCCATAATTGTTCAGGGGTGTGGTGATGAGGACCTCAACTAGTGTGACCACTGTATGAGAGGAACAAAGGTGACGGATGCCAGAGAGGCTGTGAGCCGGGGTGACTGGGAGGATGCATGGTGGTACCTTCAACAAGAGTAAGAGATTTGGCCACAGGGCAGCGCTGGAGGGGTAACAGAATGTGTCCTGTTTTGGACAGGCTTATATTATATCATATTATTATATCATATTATATTATGATGCTTATAAGGCATCCAGGTAGAGATACATATATAGATTTTTTATGCATACGCATATGCATAGATAAAGAATATATCTGTGTATCTCTCTCTCTCTCTCTCTCTCTCTTGGAATCTGCTGCAGAGCAATGATAAGAAGAAGAGAGGAAGCTAGAGAAGAAAAGAGAGACAGAGCAGGAGGTTTTGCTTCCATCTTTAAAAGCCTGGAGAACCACAGGAGATTCAACCTCAAGAAACAAAGTGCTACCTGCCACCAGGTAGCCAAGCCACAGAACCCTATATAAAGGCACAGGCTGTTTCCCTAGCACTGGCATGGTGCCAGGCACACAGTATGTGTTCTATAGATGTTTGTTAAATGAATGATAAATGGTAGGAAGACACTGTGAGGGAACTCCCCTTCCCCCTGAACTCCTCCCCCATTTTAAGTGACAGGGAGCCTGCTGGAGGAAGAGGCCAAGGGTCCCCTGCACAGTTCAGGTGCTTCCTGATCTCCCCAGTTGTTAGCACCCTCTCTGAAATGACAGCCTTCACTTTGCATATACCTCACTGGTGACTG